GTGTTGTAATTTTTCCTCTTTTCTTTATGATCCTATATGAACACTGCCTCTTTTTCTTTAGAGCCTAGCTAGAGGTTTATCTGTTTAGTTTATTTTTTTCACAGAACTACCTTTGGGTTCATTGATTTATCTTTTGGACTGCCTTTTTCATTTCTATTTCATCTTTAATTTTTATTGTTTCCTTTCTTCTACTGGCTTTTTGTTTTGTTTTGGCTTTGTTGTTCTTTTTCTAGTTCCTTGAGATGTGAGATTATGTTGTTTCTGTGGGTTCTTTCTTATTTCTTGATATGGGCCTTTATTGCTAGACTTTCCTTTTAATGCTGCTTTTGCTATGTTCCATATATCCTGAAAGATTGTGTTCTCATTTTCATTCATCTCAAGATATATTTTTTATATCTTCTTTGATTTCCTCATTAATCCAGTGTCCTTCAATACCATGCTGTTTAGTCTCCATGTAATGAGGGATCTCTGTGCTTTCTTTTTATAGCTGAATTCTATGTTGATGCCTTTATGGCCAGAGAAGATACTTAGTATGATTTCTATCATTATGTACTTGTTGATGTTTGTCTTGTGACTCAATATGTGTTCAGTCCTGGAGAATTACCCATGTTGCTTGATAAAAATACATATTTAGGTTGTTTTTGGAGGGGGGAGCAGTGTCCTATAGATGTCTGTTAGGCCCATAGGTCTAGACCTTCATTTAGGGATATTGTGTCCCTGTTTACTTTCTGTTTCATTGATCCACCCATTTGAGCAAATGGGGTGTTGAAGCCTGCTGTCACATACATATTTTCTCCAATGTCTATTTTCAGAGATGATGGAAATTGTCTAATATATTTTGGTGCTTCTTTATTTGGTGAGTATATATTGGTGAGTGTTATGTCTTCTTGGTGTACTGTCCCCTTGATCATTTTATAGTGTCCATCCATGCCTCTTGTCTTTTTTAGCTGGAAATCTATTTAATCTGATATAAGTATGGCTGCCCCTTTTTTTTTTTTTTTTTTTTTTTTGGGTGACTATTTGCTTGCAGAACAGATTTCAATGCCAATATACGTTTATCTTTGGAACTTAGGTGTGTTTCCTGGAGGCAGCAGAAGTTTGGATTCTTCATTTCTCTGCATGCTCATTCCTGTCTGGCAACCTTTGCCATTCTTTCCTTAGTCCTCTGCCCATCCAGTTAGCTCTTAGTGAACAATTTCTCCAGGCCTGCTCTTTGCATGAACTTATTTCTATGTATCCTACATCACTTTAATTTTCTCTCTGAGCTCCTGAAGTCTGCCCCTACTTTCCAGTTGGACATTTGTCAATAATTAGCCTTAAATTGTTTAAAGGCATGTTTACTTTTGGATCAAAAGTAACAAACAAAGGAAGGCAGAAAGTAGGTCTTCCTTTCTTTTTGTTCCTTTGGTTCACAGCAAGACAGAATTGCTGGGAGACTGGTAGGCTGGGAGGCTCTTCTGATTGAGACAGCTGCTGCCTTACTGATTAATGAATAAATGAATTGCTGTTTTTATGTCTTCAGATGAATGATATTTCTTTTGTCATAATTCTTCAAATTATGAAGAATGTAGATGTTGTTTATGAGAAAACATGTGAAGTCCAGGCAGGATTTTATTGACTAGGGGATTTGGAAAATCACATGTGTCTTCTTGATGGGTCATGGACAAGCTCAGTATTGACTCTAATGCAGTAATCTAGTATAACTATAGCAAGCTGAACTTTCTGATCTTTTACCCTCATTCTCAAATGTTTCTGTGAATTGGTTATTATGACAACAGATTTGTAAACAAGTGAAACATTAGACTTTAGTAGGAAAATGCTGTACCTCTTTTGAAAATCAACTTTATTTAGGTATGACTTAAATGCAATAAATGCATACATCTTTAATGTACATGATGTGTTTTGGTTAATTTATGCATCCACAGACTGCTGTTTTCCAGATTATTTTCAGTTCCCACTTCTGACATTAAGAAATCAATGATCTGATTTCTGTTACTACAAATTGGAGCTTCATATATTGCACTCTTCATTTGCCCAACTTTTGCTGAAGGTAATGTTTATTTTAATTGAGTAACATAGGTTTACAACACTTTATATAACTCAGAGGCTCAGTTCACCCCTCTTCAGATGTGTGTTACCACACCACACCCACCACCAAGACACCCATAGCCTCCACCATAGTTCATTGATTCCCAGTTCCCTTCTTTACTCCCCAACTTCCCCTTCTTCCACTGCTAGCCTCAATTCTGCAATCATATTTCTATGGTTTCTTTCATTTTAGTTTTGTCTATTGTTGATTTGTTTCTCTATACTTCAACATGCTGTCTTTTTTCTTCTGACTTATTTTGCTTAGCAACCCCCCTCCAGTTCCATCCATGTTTTCCTAAATAACAAGATTTAATTGTTCTGTCTTGCAGGGATCGGCCTGACATCGGGGACCCTCAGCCACTTTCTGGGAAGTGCCTCCAACACCAGGCACACCCTACCATGCCTCAGGAAGCAGAACAGTCTGGGCCTTGCAAGGCCCCACCCAAAACCAGCAACCCTCAGACACCTTCCAAGAGGGGCCCCCAACCACAACCATAACTACCAGCACCATGGGAAACATCACTGGTCACAGTCAGGGATGCACAGGGCCCTGCCTGGAAACTGCCATCCTCAGTGTCCCTCCAGGAAGCACCTCTGACTGATCCTGGGCAGGCACTCTACCAGTGATTTGGGAACCAGTGCAGGTCACAGTCAGTTCCACCAGGCCTGGCCTGACAGCATCAGTGACTCCCAGGCAACACCCTGTGAGTGCCCCAGCCCAGTGTGAAAGGAGTGGAGACATGCCTAGCAGAGGCTGAACCCATAGCAGTGAGGTCCTGAAAGCCATGCGGAGATGGAATGAAACGACGAGTGGCTGCAGTAGTTTTAAGGGGAATACTACATCCCAGAAAGAGAACAAATTTTCAGAACCCAATCACAAAGACATAGAAGATCTAGATATCCTATCAGACACAGAATTCAAGCTTGCCATCAAAAAGAAATTCTAAGATCTCAGAAAAAACTCAGAAAAATTGTTCTTTCCTTGTGACATATATATTCCCTTGTGGTTCCATGCTTTGTATTTTTTTTTTATATGCCCACTTTACTGCTTTAGGTCTCCTGAAATTTTGGAAATATCTATTGCTATAACTTAGAAAGTTGAGCTAATTTTACTTTTAAGCAGGTAGCACCATGATTTTGTTTTATATTCTTGGTCTTTGCTGGCTTCAGTAGTTAGTGAACCTTGTGTTGGTGGTTGCTGAATCATAGGGAAGGGGAAGGGCCTGGAAGAGTCCAGCTGCTGATACCAAGTACTGGGGTGTGGGAAGGCTGACTTTTGTTTGTGGAACCACCAATAACCCTCTTCTCTTGCAAGCAGTCTGAGTGTTGGCAGTATGCTTCCTGAGGTCAGAACCAATCCAGGGTGGTAGCAAAGGGAGCGTGCAGTGGAGTATGCTGTCATTTTTTTCACCATAGAGTGGTCTTGTCGCTGGGGAGTTCTTCAGCAACTTGGCATGTATTTCTCCTAAGTCGGGGTGTGTTTCTTCATAATATTTAGCTCCCGTATCCCCAAGATTCCTGGCAGAGTGACAGTCCTGCAGTCTGTGATGCCCACCCTGCACTGCAGTCTTCAGGCATTTCTCCCCTCTCACCTTTTGTTCAGTAAAACCTGAATCTGTTGCTTGTTTTTTTTTGTGGAGTGTGGTAGACTCTGATGTCCAGGAGAACTTTCAGTTTTGACTCAAGCCACTGGACTCTCTGGGTGTAACGTCCCACTAGTTGACTTAGAAAATCCTCTTGGAAGCAAAGCTAACTTTCTGTGATTTCATCTTGATCCCTCTGTTGATTTGATTTTAGAGGAGGATGTTTCTAAGACTGATCCATTCATGTTGCTACATGTGTTCAGAATTCATTCCCTTTTATCGCTGAATAGTATTCCTTTATATGAATAGATCACAATTTATCAGCTTACCTGTAAGTTGAAGACATTCAACTTGCTTCAAATTTGGCACTATTATGAATAACTTGGCAATTTCTCTCCTAGATATTTATCCAAGAGAAATAAAAGCATATGACCATACAAAGACTTATGTTAGAATGCTTATAATATAAAGAAACAAAACAAAGGAACAGACAAAACTAAATCAAACAAACCCTAGACATCGTCTGGAGAACATAAGTTTTAAGGAGGAGGGTATGTGTGTGTTTGGGGTAGGGAGACACATTTTTAGAAAACTTATTAATGTTTATATAGATGTGGGAAAAATGTTATATAGATGTGGGAAAAAATAATACAAGGTACATACAAGATACATTTCAATAGGATATGTTAATGAAAAAAAGAAAGCATCAAGCATTAAAAATAATTTATGTGGGCTCTCCTCCCCACCTGTCACTCATTTTCTTTCTTTCTCTCTCCTTTTCCTAATAAATCTGTCCTTTTAAAATGAAAGAAAATTGGGAACTCCCTGGTGGCCTAGGGGTTAGATCTCAGTCCTATCACCACTAGGGCTGAATTCCATCCCTAGCCAGGAGCTAACACACATGGCGCAGCAGACTCTCCTGTCTGTCCTCCTGTTCCCCTAAGCAGTGTATTTCAGTAAACCCCCCTCTGTCTCTGGTGAGTCCTCTCACCCACCCCCCCACACACCTCTGGCCTACAACCCAGTTCTATGAAAAAATGAAAATAACTATACAAAACAAAACAAAAACAAACAGACAATTAAAAACCAGAGACATCCTGCAGGGGAAGGGGAGAGAAAGGGATGGGGAGGAGGGCGGGAGGAGCACAGGGGAGTGTGGTGATGGTGCAGGGGTGCCTTGGTAGAGGAAATTCTATGGGGACTACATGTGAGGGGAAGAAAAAGAAGCAAAGTGCTTAAAAATGAACAATGATGCAATATACATATATAAATAAATACATTTAAGCAAAGAAAAATAAATTAATTAAAAAATAAAATGTAAAGAAAATCAAAATGTATGTGGTTGTAATTCTCCTGTTTTCAGCAAACACAGCTTTAATTCTTTATGTCTAGTCCAGAATGAATGGAGCAATTCTCTTTGAATCCAAAATCACATGAAAGGTAACACCCATATGATGTAACAGAATTCATCCCACCCATCTCTTAAATGTATACACTTTCTGGTGAAGAGAAGTCTTATTCCAGATATTTGGGTTTGGTAATGTTCACCGTTCCCACAATTTCTTCAAATGCAAACACACTCTGAAATTACACAAAATGATAAAAAAAATCCTCGTTTCTCCTATAAAATTAGGATCTACAGTACTGATAAATAATCATAACTTAATTTTTGATATTAGGTGTGCCAATGTAAGCCAAAATTTAATTCTGTGACAAACAGAGAAATACAGAAAAGAAAACCCAATAGCTATGAAAAAAAACCTAAACATTTAATGATTTAAAAATAGTCTTCTACAAACAAGATGGGATAGAAAGCAATACAGAGTGAATACACTGATTTTGAAAAATGTGAATATCAACACTTAACTTACAACAAATACGTCATCTCTAACAAATACACATTATACAATAAAATATACAAGGACACACTTTTACACTTCTTCAAGTATAGTTGATTTTCAGCAATTGCCTACTTCCCAACATGGACTTGTCTTACTACTAATCATCTCCTTTTGCCAGAGTAGAGCTTTAAGAATTATAATAGTGGTTGTTTTCAAAATTTCTGTCATAAATTTACTGATTTTTTTTATCATATTGAGATCACACATTCTTTTTTCTCTTATATCCTTTCTTGTTCCAATAGCTTGTTTCTTTAAAATGGGCAAGATTAATTAAGTCAAAGCATGTATAACAAATAATATTTTCAAAAGGGCTGGAATAAAAATGTTACATATAACTACCAAAAGGCTATAGATAACATGATTCTTGACTCGGCATTATGTGAATACATTTACCTACCAGATGGAAGTATTTCATTTACCCCATGATGTATCTGAAGGCTTGTGGTGTCTATGTCAACACCAAAGGTGTAAAGGGACACACGTGAATGGGTGCTGTTCTGGGCTGCGAGATAGTGTTGGCAGTTGTAGGCCAGACAGAGTTGTAAAGATTGGTTGGAATCCGTACTGTTGCCCTGAATGCTGGGTCCGCACATACATGTTTTAAGGAGGGTACAAGCTCAATCAATGACTTCTCTTGGAATAAGACGTGGTTTCGTGGCTCTAACATGCAGATGACCAAAGAACCAGGCAGTTCCCCTCAGGTAATAAGGATAGGAGCACTATGTGAAGGTTGAGGCAATAAAGTCTATTTACAATAGGTAGACAATCATTCCTTCTTTTTGTAGATTATTATAGTCTCATATGTCTTTATGAATTCCTGCTGCAAATAATATGATTTTGCAAATCTGAAAGCATCCTTTGGGAAACCTCATGGCCAAATGCAGCCTATCAAAAAGCCATGCTCTCTTTTTTTGCATGGCATCCTACAGGGTTGGAACAACTCAGTCCTAGCTGGGAACATGACCTCAAACTACATGTATTCTTGTCTCTAGTATCTAAAACATTGGAGTTTTTGAAACTTACTCTGTAAGAGGAGTTTTTCAACTAGAGTTGAGGCATTTTGCCACGATATGCCCAGTATACTCAATTTTAGAAGGTGTTTCAAAGTAAGAACAAATACCTTGCCTCATTATTAGGAGGTGAATACTTGCAAATATACTATGCTTACCACACTTGGGAGTGACAGGTTCAAAAGTGTCACTAGTAGAGCAATAGTCCAAGTAGCTGGCATATTTTCTTAAAAAATGCAGCATTTGGAAGTTCTTACTAAGGTGCTTGGTACACATGTTTTTAAATGGAATTTATCAAACATTTACATACATGAATACACTTACATACATGAATACACAGATACACACACACGTGGACAAGTTTCTATACAGTTTACAATTCACATGCCTAAGTATACACATGCTTAAGCACACAGGAAAAAATCTGCTTTCTTATCCCTGAATGTATTAATATTTTCTAAATCATAAAATGTTAAAATATTTCATTTTCATATAAAATATGTACAAAAATAGATAACATTTACAAAAACCAGATTAGATTTCCAGTTCCTTTTAGTCATCTCAGTGCTGTTTCCTTTTCTTCTCAGAACATTGCCATGTCCAACAAAGAGTCCTGGAATTGCCTCGCGTTTCTGGCCAGGTCTGTGACTTGATGTACCATTTCCTGCAAGGCAGTACTACTGGGATAATGGAGGGCAGCTGTCTTGGTTGCCATAACTATATTCTTGAGCTGTTCACAGAGCTGGTTGCTAGAGTTCATGACTCTGTTGCGAATGTCCTGGGAAGTAACCTGCCTGGTGAGCGTGTCTCCAATGAACACCAGTTTGTGTGCACTTAGGATGACAAACTTGCTGTGTGCTACAAAGATCCTTGGGGGCTGGGCTGTGCTGACACAACTGAAGAAAGCGTCAGTGGCATTGAGAAGGGAAATGTAATGGGTCTTGCACTGGTCGTGATAGAAGCAGAGCAACTGCCTGTCCTGAGCACCGACTCTGCTGCTTGCAGTTGGGAGGTTCTGAGACGGCTTCCACTTGGAGATGTCGTTCTCTATGGGTTTTGTAATTTCTTGTTCCAACAACTGGAACTGACTTAGCTGCAAGAAAGAAAACAGATTTCATTAAGGATGTAAGGCAGTGTGAAGTAGTAAAAATTAACCAGGAACTGAAGTTTAAAGACAGGGATTTTAATCCTTAATTAGTGTCAGGTGCTTGTTAGATGGGAGACCTTGCACCCATCTAATTTCCCTGCTTTCACAAATTGTAAAATATGTAGGTTGAGACAGATGATCCCTAAGAAAGTCTACAGTTCTGACCTTCCATCATTGGACGACTGGTCTCTTTTGCCCTTAGGTGGAAAGAAAGCATAGGATTCAAACCTACTTTTGTTATCCACACTTTTATGAAGTTTAAATGAGTCAATGTTTATGAAGTGCTTAGAATAATGTTTGGTATATTGTAGGCTCTATGTAAATGTGTATTAAACAATGAGCAGTAGTAAGGAAAACCAAATGCAAGGATCTTTGGTAGAGAAAATCCATCTTAAGGAAAGCCTTCACTGCCCCTTTCAAAATGTTTAGACAAATGACAATTTATGATCCTTTTTTTATTTCTCCCACTTTTCCTGTTGAGATTTATAAATATTATTATTCAGCACTACAGAGAAGACTAATGTATACAAATATATGTGCACTATGCAAAAGAAAATTTCTAAGGAAGTGCATCATAATATTTAGTCCTCCAGAGTTATTGTAAGAAAAGGACCTTGCAGAGTCAGATTCAGTGAGGGTTAGCTTATTTCTAGTTCTCCTCTTTGTACCCAATGGTGTATTATTTAAGTTGTAATGATAATAATTTCCAGCTATTCCACCAAGCATCAAGAGAGTCCTCTCTTTTTTAGGTAAGTACTATTTTAGGATTCAGTCTATCTTCCACATGAGTCTATCTTCCCAAGAAATGCACAGTAGGCTTTACTTTTTTATACTCTGTTTTCTTCTTAGGACTTACTATGGTTTCAACAAATTCATTAAAGTAAACAAAAACAGAGAGTGATTCAAAATAGCTAATGCTTTTGTAAATATGTTCATATTTATATCATCACATTAGATTGAGGGATGGAAGATTTTCTCAGCTTAAAGAAAAGTGACTGAAGTTCAGGGAGGTTAAGTGACTTGCCTAAAGTCATTGGTCAGAAAGCAGGTCAGAAAGCAAAGACTAGAAGTCTGGTATGCCATGTTGTGTGTGTGTGTGTTTAAATATATTTTATTTTATATAATTCTTACATCATTTTTCATTTTTGCACAATGCGTGCACTTTCATTTTGGCTATATTCCCCATATAATTCCCACCCCCACCCCCATCTTTACCCTAATCCCTCCTCTCCCTCCCTCCTCCCCCCCATAGTGTGTCTCTGATCCATAGCTGCTCATCGATTTTGATTTTTTCTTTATTATATGCCATTTCATTTCATTTTGAAAGGTTTATAAATCCTCAATCCATATTTTGTTTTCATGTCCTTGAACTAACAATACCCATCATTATCTGTCCCACTCACGTCCAATTTTAAAAGAAACTACCCTGCCTAAAGCCCTTGGTAAATGGACTTGGGTGCTAGCTGAAAACATTAGATCCTGTCCTCCTTCCCTTACACTGGACCAAGGACAGCCAAACCATAGACTTATGCTGTTGCCAGTGAGCGACAGAAAATTAGGTTAAAAATGGATGCACGCATATAGAGATGGTCCAGTCAGATGCTCTTTTTCAGGAATTCAGTGAACCACAGAAGGGAGCTGATTGAGGAAACTGAGATAAAAAGGCATCTGTGGAAAGGGTTTTGAGTTGCCAAATACAGGTTCTGTTATGTTATAGGTGAGTCAAATGAGTAGAAGAGGATACTGTCAGAAAATAGGGAAGAAAGAAGCAGATTTAGAGAGCGGCAATGGAAGTCAAGAAGGGAGATAATATACGGTCCTAGTTTTCACTGAACTTGGTTATATATTCACTTTCTGTCCTTGAACTCCTCTCTCTGGCCTTACTCTAAAGCCTGTTTGCCTGGACTAGCTGGAGTGGATCTTGCTCCTTGAAACCAATAGCCTTAATCCAAATAATCCTAATATGTTAGATGCACAGGCTTAGCCTGGAAATAATGCTGTTTGGATGGACTCCAGATACACCCAGTTGGAAGACTAAGGCCAGGAACCTCTTTGTACTCTTTTATGTACCTTGAAGCTTATTTATGCCATAGTGCGCTGGACGAATCAAAATAATAATCTTTTGAAGTTATATCTTTCTTCCTAAGCAGGAAACCTTTTCAATACCAAGTCATTTTTGTTTTGACTGAAACTTACCTGATGATGTTCCAGCTGCATCTTGTTCTGCTTTATGATATTTTCTTTTTCCAACAGCTCTTTCTGTTGCCTCTCAAACTCCTCCTTACCCTATTATTTTTCAACATAAAGAAAACATTACATCACCGCTGTGATTCATTTATATTAATGATTTCACCGACAGACATGTAAATATTCTTTCACTTGCCACTGCCCTAGCAATTTCCCAAATGCCCACTTAGGCCCCATGAGCTCCAGACAGGGATGACATGCTTCTCAGCTAGACTTCCAGAGTCACTGTGCAGTTAGGACTGAAACCTGAACCCATTCTCCTGTGGGGGCCATGCCCTCTGCGCCTCTTCACCATTTTGGGAGAGCTACCCGTGATCTTCTTTGAACTTCCTTAAGTAGCGCTGTTTCTCAGGGTTCTTTTGTAATAGATTATATGTGAACCCACAGTCTCCTAATGCAATTCTAAAGGTGGTTCACACTGCACTTCCAGTTTCTTCAAATCATGTACTGCTCTAAACCAAATCAGTCTGTCCCAATGTGCAGTCGACAGCTGCACAGATGGATGTTCAATGCTTCCATGGACTCTGTCCCCACACCTTTCCCCAGGACTAAGTGTGGCTCAGTTCTCTACCTCTCATACACTCAGAAGGACTGTAGTTAGTTTAATAGTTCTCAGGAGAATCAGTGGCTCTCAGTTAAGTTAAAATAAGGGCAGAATAAGGTATTAAGCTAAACTATAAATAAAGGATTTTGGTAGAATGTTTCAATCCATGCTCCAAAGTGAAAGGGCAAGCTGTCAAGATCCCAGGTCAACTTGGTGGGATTCCCACTTGTAAGAGGCAGACCCTAAGTGCTCAATTTCCCATATGCAGGTTAAATTCTACATCAATTGACAGATGCCTGGTGGTCCTAAAAGTTTCTCTGTAAGTAATTACACACACATACACACACACACACAGGTGAGCTGATGGGATCTTAGAAATTCTCTGTGTGTGTGTATATATATATATATATATATATATATATATATAGAGAGAGAGAGAGAGAGAGAGAGAGAGAATACATATGTATATGTATACAGATTCTCAATTTTTTTCTTAAATGTGAACTCTTCTTTTTTTGCAGTTAAAATATGTGGAACTAAATCATAAAATGCAAATAAAAATAGTTGGTAAGATTAGCTGGTGGCAGTCTCTTCCTGCCTGACCGAGGCATATCAATGGGATCTAACTCAACCCTATACTTCATTCATTTCACAAATTAGGAAATTAGAGTCTAGAGAGGCTACATAGGTAGGATACACCTATGTATTGGGAAAGTGTTGGGAAAGTCCAGACCTGAGGATGCAGTACTCTAACACTAGTATTCTGACTGTACAACACAGTCTGCAGCTGTGAACTACTTAGATTAATGCAGTTTTCCTCTTTCTTCTAACATGGGCAATAATTCTCAAAATCCCTGCAAATAAACATAGGCGATTTAGAAGTCTGGTTTCTTTACCTGCAGGTGGACATAGTCATAATCATCCATCCAGCTCCTTTCAGAGCCATCACTGCTGCTGCAGTCAGGTAGGTGGTCCTTGCCCAAGCTTGGGGGCACTGGTTTGTTGAGGGTCTGGACCTTGTGGTCCCTAAGATGTGGCATCTGGGAACCAGTGTTTGGGTACTCAGTGGAGTTCATATTGCTCTCAGGCCCATTTTTCACACGGGAGTTTCCAGAGGTTAATCTGAAGAGGGCCTCGGTGTTGTTGTTGATGGTTGTAGTGAGCTGCTTGGTATCATCGGGTATCGTCTTTGCCACCATCACAAACCGGTCCAGATCATCACACTTATTTTGGGTCTTGTTGCTAGCTAGGATATTCAGAGACCAGTTGCACTCATTTAAGTCATGGCTGGTTTGACTCAGAATCTGGTGGGAATCTTCTACTCTTTGGAGCTCCCGCTTCATTTTATTGTGGAGGATGAGTTCTGGGAGGCAGGAAGCATTTGCTACAGCTCCCTTGGTGAAATGGAGGTAGTCCCTCAGGGACTGTTCCACCTTGTCTACCAAGGTGCGTATCTCATTGATGTGTCGCTCCATGTATCTGTAACAACGCCATTCTGAGGTCACCAGGGCCATTAGGTTGGAGACACACAACTCCAGGGTCTGCTGGAGCCACTGAAGTCTCTCAATGGCTGTGTCTGGGTCCAGCAAAAGCCTTTTGTCCTGAGATGGGGATGCTGACAATGAAGATTCTTTTGAGGTGGTGGAAGATGTGGACATGTTACTCCTGGTGCTGCCTGTGCTGGAGAAAGATAATCGGTTGATCCCATCTACCACATCCTGAGAACCTTTGGCATCTGCCGGGTTATGTAGAGGAACGTCATAGACACCATCTCTTTCTTCATGATTTGTTTTCCCACTGATTTCTGCTGGTGGTTCAAGGAACTGAACCCCTCGGGGGATATCGTATGCGTCATTCTGACTCCCTGCTGCCTGCCCCAGCTGTGGAGGCAGATGCTTCAGGGAAATGTTTTGATGTCTTCGTGGTGACTGTTCAGCAGCTCCGAGAACATTATAGTTATATTTTAGGTGAAGGTCTTTCTCCACTGACTTGGTGCTGGTTGGGGGGATGTCATAAACTCCCTCAGGTCTCACTTCCAGTCTTCCAGCTTGTTTCATCGGTGGGAAATCATACTCCTTTTCCCTAAGCCTTACTTCATCCTGGCAAGCAGAGGGTGCAGTGGCATACATCTGCAAAGCAAATAAAAGTACAAAGTAGTTATTTTTTCAGTTGGTTCATACGAACATTCAGAAACTGAATAGTCGATTAAAGGCCAGAATTGTCAGTTCTGTTTGCAAGTATTTCCCAACACTCTGCCCTATTAATGTCCCACTTTCCTCATTCTTGGACAAGTATATCCTTCCATGGTCTCAGTGCTTGCCCGGGGTATGGATATCTCCTAGCTCAGGTGCTCTCTCTGTATCCCAGTCCCACATTTCTGACCACATGCCAGGTATCCTTTCTTGGCTGACCCATCTGAGAAGTAAATTACACATCAATATACCAGGCTAGGGCACAGAAGACCTGAGTTCTCTCCCTGTATCTCCCAGTTACATGGTGCTGCATAAGTTGCTTAATGATCTAAGACAATTCCAATATCTATAGAACATGGGTAACTGCACAGACATACCCCAGAGCTTAGAAGAGTGAATCAAATGTGTTAATACATACATAGATCTATACATACATGTATATATGTATACATACATATGTACACACATATATACATATATATATACACATATGGAATGAGTAAGCTGTAACACCCATTATAAATATGAGAGATATGAGATATGTTGGCTGGTTGCTTGCTAAAATGAATTTGTTACTTTCTTATTGGTTCTCCTAACTGGCACCTCCATTTTTAAGAGGGTTTCTTTAATTATTGAACTTCTTTTCTTCCTCCATTTACTCCCTTCTTTCCATTTATTCTCTCACCAATACTAATTTTTCCCATTTAGGTTCGCCTTTCTTTTTGTATCCCAATGTATGCATGCCCAGGAAAACAGACACACACATTCATACATACACACACACTCACTCCTTTTTTGCTGCAATATAGTAGCTCACTTACCCCTTTAGTTGGAGGGATATCATATACCCCTTGAGGTTTTATCTCTCCCACTTGAATGGAAAACATAGGGCCTTTCACTGATGATGGAGGGATGTCATACACCTAAAGAGAAATATCTGTGTTACCCAGAAATGGAAATGTCTTATACTTTTCAAATTTTACAGTGCTAAGTTTTTAACTATGGATTTATACCAGGTTATGTATTATCTTGCCTTTTGGCTGCATTCTATGTAGTAAGGGGTTGAAGGAATTTTTAAATTTTGTAATTTCAAGTGAATTTTCTACACTGCCTGTACTTCAAACTATAGTTTGAATATTATACTTCCTAAAATAAAATGATAAAATGGTAAACAACAAAAGCTTTGTCAGATAAAAGCCAAGGAATTCCTGATAAAGCTAATCCAGAAAGCATAATTTAAATACCATTGGCTAAAATGACTCAAATAGATAATGAAAATAAATTGTCACATGAAATATACATAATTTGCAATGTTCGTTTCCTCTGTAGTCCTGCAGGAATGATACCCTGAAGAGCTGTACCCACATTCCTGATACCTACCCCCTGAATGGCATGGGAAGGAGGAATATCGTAGACGTCCTTTTGGTGTCTGGATGGGTACTCGTACACATAGCCATGGTCTGTCCTCACAGGGGTTATCACCTATGGGTGAGAAAACACAGAAGTATAAGATTACAAGTTGTGAGTGAATATCCTAGCTTCTTAATTAGGTTAAAAAAGGAAGGAAGAAGAGAGAAAAAAGAGACATCAGATGAGTAAACTTTTAAATCCCTCTTGAATCCCAAAGAACAAGTTCCTGAAATATTTCTATTGTTATTTGATAACAAAATCATCTCAAACTTGGTCAATGTCTCAATTCCTGAAATATACTTCAAGGGAGAATCATTTATAAATTATGGAAGTCCTAGATCATCCATTTGGAGCATCAAAATCATAATGTATTGAAAGACAATTTTTAAAGGTTCTGAAATGATCTGTAAAGTGAATAATATAAATAGAGCTCAACCACTTAAAATTCCTCTCATACCTTCCCCTGGAAGCCTCTTTATCCAACATTATTATAACTAGAATTCCATAGGTCACTACTTTTACAAAGCTAACTCTCAAACAGAGCTGCCCTTAGCAGCCTCCAGGAGCTTTCAATCTAACACATGAAACAAATGAAATACTTAGGGAGCCACGAGTAACAGAATTTAGGTGTCTAATCATTTTCTAGTTTCCACCAGGGAGGCAGACATCCCAGGGAGTACCTTGTCCAAAGAATGTCAGAAGTTAAATACACTCATCACAACTCTGGCATCTGGAACCAATGTCAGTAAAATGAATCTCACCTGACAGCCTTGTATTTTTGTATCTACATACTTCCTTGGTTCTTTTAGAGAAATGATTTGAACTTAAACTCATTTTGAAATGTATTTAGCTGTCAAGGCCCTCTAAGTTACCAGGATCTTGATTCTGCCTAACCTCTGCCCCCCAGATCACTAACACCATCCCCCTTAAAGATTGCACATGACATTTTTTGTGGAAAACAGACATTGTGAACTAGGAAGTGTTTGTTGTTTCCTGAGAAGCCATCATCATTTATCCTTTCTCGAATATGAAAACTCTGGCGTCAGGCTGCCTGCACAACTATGTGAAAAATGCTCATGTCTGTCTTCTGCTGAAATGGATGGAACTTGGCCAAATGCAGCGATGGTCTTCTCCCCAGGGGCTCTAAAATGCCTGAGTTCAATATGGTTTTAAATCCCTGGTGCTTGCAACTGATTATTTCTTCAATGAAGTTACTATACAATCATCCTCCCATCAAATCAGGCCACTGCCTCAGGTTTAAAAAAGAAATTTATGGCTTTAAGTTTTGTTGGCACGGGGCACACAGAATCATTTTATAGAAAGGTCAAGGTACTATGCATGGCAAATCCTCCTTTGAAAGCAGGATGCCCTTTGCTTAAGAAAAACACACTGTGTTCTTAATGCCATCATATAGACATACATATTTTCTTTTCCCACTCATTATTGTCCAGGACAGAAATGAAGTATCTTATCTTACTCTATCCCACTAGCTCCTCTATTTATAGCTCTCTACTTTAGCTCACTTACAATACAGCTTTTGTTCAGTCTAAAAGTTTCTAAGAGTGGGCTCTATCCAAGGTTGCCAACTTAGTAATAATGCTAATGCCAAGATAGTTATGCTGAAGGCCAGGTCTTTAGTTTAAAAAAAGGACAGATAAGAAAAGATCTTAGCCAAAAGGCTGCAAGAGGTTGAGCATAGCACAGTAAAGCTATCCACAGCCTCTACAGCACAAGTTTGATCCCTGGCCGGCCAAGGAGCTACCCACATGGTGCAGCAGGCCTCTCCTGTCTCACCTGCTGCTCCCCTCAGCAGTGTATTCACACAGTCTGCCTGTTCTGTTCCCCACTCTGTCTCTGGTGAATCCTCTTACCATCCCTCCACCCCGCACCTCTGGCCTGTACCCCAGTTCTTGTATGCATAAATAAATCAATCTTTAAAAAATAAATAAAAATAAAAAAAGAATGGGCAGTGGGAGATAAAGTGGGTGGTACTTGGTGTCTTCAATAGTCCTTGGTGAAGTGTAAAGCTATAGCATGACCTCAGAAAGGCAAGGTCATGGATAAGACTCTACTTTTGTGGATCATCCTTGGCAGAGAGCACTAATGTTTCCTGGTATTTACCATTTCACTTCCTGACAAATGTCACAGAGCCCCAACTTGTTCTTTCTTTCTCTTTCATAGGATGCCTGTGGTCATCTGGTTTTAAAAAACTTTGCATTCCAAACCAGTCATTTTCCTTGTTGTGCATTAAAAGAAACAGATGGTGAAAACCACAGAGGGGGCGGGGGGAAGCCAACAAAATACAAACTCCCTGGATTCCAGCTTTCCGGGGTTACCATCTCATTCACATTGTTCCACAATTGGTATTTAAATGGGCCAGTATTTTGCATCTGGTCAGACCCATCCAGAGCCTACAGATACCAACTTTGTGCTGTCTGAAAGAATAAGGAGTTGGAAATCTACTTGTTTTGAACATTGTCCTTCTCAACCCAGTGCTTGGACTGCTTTCATGCCAATTGTGTGTTCTCTCCTCAGAAGAAAGTGCTGACCAGCTAATTCTGTATTTTACTGGGTTTCCGATTTGGAATATTACACTAAAACGTGTGTAATATTCCAATACCCCAGAACTACCGAACCTCAGCCTACAAAGAACACCAAGGTCTGGCTAAGGGGCTGTAAGGTTTGCAATAATTATTCTGGGTGTTTTCATGGTGAAGTACTGATGGGATTGCTACACAAAAATCATTTCAAAAGTAACATTTTCAATGAAATCAAGGCAGGTTTTTTATTTCTCTCTTTTTTTCTCTTCTACATTCTTTCCTTATGTATATTTACTTATACATATAAGGGCTTACACAGTCTTAGTATGAATTAGCAAACTGACCTCTCCATTCTTCAGTGTCACCACAAAAGTGTTTAAATTATGGGCTCTCCTGGGGCCATTTGACCAACTGCTGCTGCTACTGTTTTCTGGTACCCTGGCAGAGGTTCTGATTTTTCCAGATGTGGCTTTTCTGTCCTGATGAGGAACCCCACATTCTTCAGATGTTACTATACATTCCTTGTCAACTCACAGAAAAGTATGAGAGTGGAAACTTTCCAAGTTATGAAACAGAAAAGAAGGAAAACTGCAGAAATTTAGAAAAGGAAGAGTCCATTTAATAAATCCCCAAGGCTGGTCCCTGGCTGGGTAAGATCAAGTCCAGAGAGTGGGGTTATGTTAGCTCTTTAATTAATCTGCTGAAAACATGCAAACGTGCTTGCTTCATCCCATACTGTGATGTATTTGATTCACTCCATTTTGAACCACAGATCCTGGGCAATATGGGCTGTTTTTTAAGAGATGCTTTAAATATTACAGTCTTGTAACTTTGAAGAGTCTATTTGGGATAACAGTGGAGGCCAGGGATTACTGAGAATGAGTGTGAGAAGGGTCAGAAGAGCGGCCCTTGGTTCTGTCACTCATGTCTGCATGTTTGGTTGGCCCAGGCTTGTGTCCACAGCAGATCAAGGGCCATTTGCTAAAACACCCCCAGGCTGAGCAGGTATGGTGAAGGGAAACACAAGCTGTACTTCTCTGCTGGGGAGACAGAGCTCACACTCAGGTGATAGGAGGTTGTCGCTCTTCAGTTCTGTCAAGTGCTGTCCTGAGAAAACACGCTCCATGCTGTCAGATGGTTCAGATTTTCAGAAGAAACCAGAAATTTGGATTTTTATTTAAAATATAATTTGCAAAATTGGTTCAAATATTTCAAACAGTTTCTTGGCCAAAGTAAACATGTCTCTATGCCCCTAGTTGCCAGTCTTTACTTTCATTTATCTGTATTCCCTCCTCCCTCAATACTTGGGGAGCCTCTGGTGACAGTCCCACAAGCTCTTCCCCAAATCATGTCCAGGCAAGACTGAGCTGCTCCAGGCCTCACATGGTGTGGATACAAGTCCACACCATAGCCCTGTGCCTTTACTCATGCTGTCTTTGTCCAAGATGCTCTTGTCCTCATATTCAAGTTTTATTCAGCTTTCAATACCAGACTGACTGCTTCTGTTTCATGAAGATTTTCCCAGACAGTTATATTTCCTTCCTCAGAACTCCCCAGATGTGTTATGCATATATAGTAGAGATATTTATCTCATGATCTGTTTTGGTGCTTCTCATCTCTTAGCTTTATGGGGACAGAGACCATTTCTTACTCATTTGCACGTATACAACAGGTCTTAGCACAATGCCTTGAGTATAGGAGGTCACAGGTAACTACATTGACCAAATATATCAACAAACCAAAGTAAAACTCCAGAGTATTTATAAGCAGAATGATGTGGGATTGGGAAGGACACTAAGCAGGGGTTGCCTAAGTAAGATAAGGTTAGTTTCCAGGTAAGTCAGCTCTGGGATGAGTGGAACTCACGGAATGAGGGGGCAGACTATATCTTATCAGTCACACATGGCAGTGTCAAGCGAGCGAGGGAACCAAGAGAGCAGCACAAATGTTTGATAAAAGTAAAAATCAGAAAGCATGGAAGGACAACCACTTGCAACTCTATCTGGGGCAAACGCCGATGGGAGGCTAAGAAAGGGTGTTAGATGGTTTTCTTTTCCCCAACCTCTCAGAGCCTGCATGTGACATAAACACCTGCGTTCTTGGCCACAGTCAGAAACATATGGGGGAGTTTTGCAAAGAAATCAAAACCAACTCTGCTTTTTACCTTAGCATCAGAAGGAAAAAATAGTAGATAGGAACAGAAATCATTCTTCTAGTTCTGACAGCATGTGACATTCCTGTGTCTCCAGAAGTTGTTTACTAGAGTGCATGGCCCAGTGGGACTTCAACTCATTGGAAGGATTAGAAGAAATAAGGGGAGTGATTGAGAACATTAGCTGGACTCAGGCAGAGCTGAATCTAAATCACACTTCCACCACTTACTAGTTGTGAGACCATGAACAAGGTATTTTCCCATTAGCAAAATAAAAATAATGACACTTATAGGCTATTATGAATATTAAGGAATAAGTACATGAAGTTCCCAGCCTAGAGTAAATCTTTCAGCTTAGCTATTTTTATTATAATTTTTAA